ACCAGACGCCCGACAGCTTTGGGGTGAATCTGAAGGAGGTAGAGTGCGAGTACGTCTGGAACCGTCTTGATCAGTACCAGCAGCAGCACCATCGACAGTAGTTTAAATCTTTTCTGATCGACAGTGCTGAGCTTTTAACATAATAAACTAGCGTGATTGTTTTGGAACTTTGGGAAAACGATTAAAGTTAACAGCAAAAATGAATGTCTGTAGCTAGTTTTTGCACTAGTGACTTCAGTAGTAATGTAATGGTCTGGCATAAAGAGAGGTTGTAGACAAAGTCAAAGTGGCGGTTCACAGGCAAACAGACAAATGGTTTCAGCCGAGGAGCAACTACGAGTTCAAAGTCCACGAGCTTCCGATTGTCACCCAAACACCAAAATTTAAAAAAATGATGTTTCCCAAAACGCTCACAGTGCAGCCCTCTATTGCATACCGGAGGAGTTACTTGTGTTTGGGTCGCAGAAGCTTTTGGAAGCAGCAGCAGCACATGTTTTGGTTGTCAGCAGTTGAAGTGAACTCTTACTTCCGGACCCTCCGTGGAATCTAGAATCTTCCGTTGTTGCGACCATGCTTCTGCTCACCTCTGTTCAAATTCGATTCACCATCTGTGATCCGGTGAGGGAGGAGGACATCATTCTCATCAGAGACCACCGACAACTGTTGACGAACTGCCGAACTGGAAGAAGTGTTGACGATGAGACCAAAGAATCAACAAAAGAAAACTTGCAATGTGAAACCTGCAAAACGCGTCAATCTGTTCACCTTCATTTCCGCCAGCCCTGTGATTACTGTTCCTTGATGTACTTTGTACTGCACTTTGTCAAGCTGCCTCAGTATCGAGCACGGGTCATCTCCACAGTTCAGTCGGCGTTGAATGGTGGTGGTGGTGACCAGCTGAAGGAGCCATCAGAAGTGCCATTATCTTCTGCCGCAAGAGAAGTTCAAGCAGTGCTTCACTTTACCGTCCCAAATTGTGATGTCTACACGCCCGTTGACAAGTGCTGGTAAAATAAACTGATGATAAACACTTTGTTATTGTTGGGTTTGAGTTCTTTACTGACCACCTTTTTTCTCTTTGTAGGTCGCAGGAGATGAGCAAGCTGGCGGTGTTGCGCATGGAGATCGAGGAGGGCCTCTCCTGGCTGTCCACCCTCGGCGGCGCCTGCTCCTCGCTGGGCGACCGCAGTGTGCACTTTGCGCGTCGAGCCGGCGCCATATCACTAGACCAGCTGCGCCTCTCGCTGGCCATCGGCGACCCGAACCTGATTGCCCGCTGTTGCATCTACATCAGCCACTCGCTCTGTCAGCAGGGCCAGCGCCGACGGGCGGTCCGCTTCGTCCGCCAGTGCCTCTACCCGCGCCTGGTCGCCCTGGGCGACAAGTGCGACCGCATCGTCGGGCAGATGTACCGGGCGCTGCACTTTCGAATGCTTCACGTCTACCGATAACCACCAAAACAGAACAACCACTGAACAGGATAATTGTCCGATAAGTAGAAGGGCAATAATAAAAAGAATATATTTCCTGGTACAAGATTGGTGTAAAGTGTGTGTGTGTGTGTGTGTGTAGAAAACGGGGTCGGAAAGAAAGAGTGGAGTTGGTAAAATAAGTGTGTGTGTGTGAGTTTAGGAAAAAGAAAAGAAAAGTAAAAATTATGATTGCTACACTGCTGAGGCGAAGTATCTTCAGGGGGAAAGGTTAATTGTGATGTTGTGTGTTGGTGGTACTTCTGGTAGTTCTGTTAAATATAATAGAAGGAAACGATGAAGGAAAAAGATCAGATTTGTGGTAGTATTATTTGTTTCAATCAATCTCGGCACATCATCACTGGGTGTCACACTGCACCAGCACTGTTTCTGCAGGGGTGAGGATGCGAGTTGTTGTTGGGGTTGCACAGAAAAGAAACGTTTTTTCACTCGCTTCGCAACTAGTACTCTCCGTCGCCTGGCAGCCCCTCTTCATACTCACCAGCAGTGCCTGGCGAGGTGAACCCATCTTCAACGGCGTAGAGAATGTTCAGCACCTGTTCCTTGAACTCCTTCTCCGATTCGCTGGTGGACTCAGCTTGACTGAGCACTTCAATTTCGCGCAGCTTGTTAAAGTAGAAGTTTCGCTCTCGGGCGAGAGTGTCATTCAGCAGGTTGATTTCCTGCATCTACAGAGAAAAAAGAGAATGAGGGTTATTAAGGACTATGTCAAAAAAACAACAACAGCGGTATGTACCTTCTCCTCCACCTTCTTCACCTCCGAGTCGTAGTCATTCTTGCGACCGTTGTTGGCGAAGGCATTCCTCACTGGGTTGGATGGCCCACCGCCAATCTTGCTGCCGTAGGTGGCCGGGCGGGGCGCCGGCTTGGATGGCACCGATTTGGTGATGCCCACAGAGGCGACCGAGCTGCTGCTGGTGGCAATTGCCTGTCGTCCACGGGCCTCAGTGGCGTTGTACTCGCGCCCATCGTAGTTGGCATCAAAGAATTTCTTGAACCACTGCAGAAACTCAAAGTTATCCTGGAAGCGGCCCTTGACGAGTTTATTTATCATGATTTCCTGCAAAAGAGAACAATGGTTAGATGACATGACATTCACACCAATTACTGCTGTCTTACCTTATCACATCCAACCTTCTTAAAGGAAGCCTGCAGAATCTTGAAGTTCTGAATGTACTCGTGCTCGAGGTTCGTACGGAACTTGACCTTCTTCAGCTGAATGCTGCCGGGGAAGAGCATGTCCATGAAGTTGCAGTAGGCCGCACCTAGAAAAGAGAACGATTAGCAGGACTATCAAAACAACAGCAGCAGACTAGAATGGCGAAAACGCCGGCAACCGGCTTGCAACTGTTTTCAGAAGGGGCAATCCCCTTGCACCGGTAAAACTGAAAACATACCCGAGCAAAGTTCTTCCACCTTCTTGTAGTCAGCGTCCAGAGATTCGTTCACCCAGTTGAGCATGTCATGTCGGCTCATGTTCTCCGAGGTGGCCGACGTCTGGTAGACATTGACGCACTGGTACGACTGAATTGGCTCATTCATGATTGCAGAGATTACGGCAGAATGGATGCAACGGCGGTGTCGGTAGTGATGGTGGTGCAAACCCAATTCCTGGTGGAGGTGGTGCTGGTGACGACACAGATGAGGATTCGCAGAAGAAAGTGGAGAGGGGTAAAACAGACACAGATCGAGACGATTCGAGTTGTGTTGGCTCGAGTCGAGGGAGAGGGAGAGAGAACGAGGTGATCAACAAAAGGAGAGAGAAAGAGAGAGAGAGAGAGAGAGGCTTGCTCAACTGCCGCTGTTGAGCGACAGTGGCGCTTGGCGTCGCTGCAGGACAGTCTTCTTCACTCAAGTGCCTGCTTTCCCATCTTCACCACCAGCAGCAGTCAACGGCCGACAGCCAACAACGGCGTCGACGACGGCAAAGACGACCACGACTACGACCATCAGTGCGCTGACTTGAACTTGACTTGAGGCTGCCACCACCAGTTCAAGGCGCTGGTAGAGTAATGGTCAGGCGTCGTGGCCACCGCCTCGCTTCACCGCCGACCGGTAATCCGACCGCTACTCGACTCGTTGTCCGTCCTGCTCTTCTTCTTTTCTTCTGTTCTCTTGTTCTCTTGCACGATGAGTTTGTCCGACAGTCTGTCTGCTGAACACTGCTCAATTACCGGCACTTGAAGTGCTGTGTGCTGCCTTCGATTTACTTCGCTCCACTTGCTCTCTCGCCGGAAACAAATTAAGAGCGGTGCCCGACTGCAGCCACAGAAGAAGAAAGGGGTAAGTGCCGGTGACTGGCGCCGGTTATCTATTATCTCCGTTGTGTTGTTCTTCTCCAGTAATCTAATTTCATTTGTACCTTTACCCAACAGAGAGCAATTAAATGGAAGCATGTGCGATGGTATCACTGTGTCAGCGCATTCACTTCGTCTGACCAGCATCAGATCGCTGGAGTAGCACCAGCTGTACTACCACCACTGCCACCACCAAGTTATCCAATCTAAGAGACAATCTAAATATAGAACAACAGACGCTCAGAGACAACACAGCACTTGAACACAAGAAAGTGGACTTTCCCGACAGTGCGACGGCTGACATTGATGGACTACACAGAGCGCGCTCTCTGCTGAACGGTGGTGGTGGTACTCTTAGAAAAAGTAGCAGTCAGCAGTGGTACGGCCCGCCCAGTGGACATCAACCGATGGATCGACCGACTGGAGAGGAATGTGCCAAGGTGTCAAAGTGAACCACCACCATTAGTATACGACAAAGATTGCTGCAGCTTTGTTTGCACTCCCTGGTGGTGGAGGAGGAAAAGATAAGACACTGCACTGCACAGTTACTTTTATTTACTACCAACGAGAGAAGGAACACTCCTAACAGGGTGAAGTGCTAAGGAGCAATTAGAGCCATCATTAATAGTCCATCAGGTGTGTAGAGGCTCACTCACTCCCCATCCAATGGTGTTATCACCAGCAGACGGACAGTCGACAGTGCCTACCTCGTCGGTGGTGAAGTGGCCACTTGGGCCACCCGAAACTAAGCACTGTTGGCTGTGCACAGTGACTTTCCTGGTCACTATCACACTTAATAGGTAATGCGATGATCGCGGGCGCCATCACCTGTCACTCTTTCGCCTGCACAGTCTGTCAGTGGATTGTGCCACTGCTGCTTGGTGTCTGCCCAGTCTAAATCGTCATATTAATCACCACTCTCATGAGTAAAAGAGTCTTGTGTACGCTGCAACTTCATCGGCAGAAACGGCAGTTGCAGTTTAGTTGCCGTACAATGGTGGCTGCAGTTGCACTGATGAGTTGATGTGTGTTTTTGTGCTGCACTTTCCTGGATTGCAGCTTCGACAAGGAGGAGGAGGAGGACGTCGCGACTGCTCCCACTGCTTATCAGTGGTCTAACACAGGTGAATACTGGTGACAAAAAGAAAGAGAGAGAGAGAGAGAGAGAGAGAGAGAGTGAGTGAGACACTGCCCCCAACTAACTATAATTAGCAATGAAGAGCACTGTACGACAGCGACGACAGGTAGCGGAGCTACTGCTGATGATGCTCGTGACGACAGTAAAATGAAGGCATTTTTAGCAGCTAAAAGCTGTTGCACAACAGCTTGCCTGCTTCTCTGACTTGTCAATGCGGGAGAAGGAGGAAGAAAAGGAGGATAATAAAGACTAAGACATCTGAAATCACTGCTACACATCTCTCACCAGGACAAGATAAGACTTTCTGATGAGCAGCAGAGATCCTCTTTCCTCCTCAGAAGCAGCACAAGCAAAGCCTGCTGCGCTAGATGGCAGCTTGCGCACCATTACGCGCAAAAAGCGGCCGCAACTGAAATATCCATTTACAGTAGTAGAAGCTTCATTGAAGTAAAAGTGATAATGAAATGTAAAGTACCGGGTACTGGTATCATCATCATTTCTCAGCCCTCGGTACAGGAAAACTTTTAAACGCTGAGATTTGTGCCCAGTGTGAGTGCGGCGTCTATGTGAGCAATGTCACACAGACACCAGCACCACTTTGTCCATCTTTGCATCCGTCTGGTGCTAATCATCATCACCATCACCACCACCACCACCACCAATATCTTCAAGCTTCGGCTTTGACTTTGGTGTGAGCAATGCGCACTACCAGTCAGTGAGGACACCATCACCATCACCATCACCATTTGACCCGACACTACTCTGTTATTAGCGCGCACTAGACCTTCCAGAGGCACTCTACAAGAACAAACAGAACACACTTCATTGGAGGGGGAGGGGAAGGAAGAGAGTGTCACTGGGAAGTGTCCGCTGATGGCTGCAGTGCGATACCGAGGAGAGCTCGTCCACTGACTGGAAGAGCGAGACTGTGTCACAGAAGCTGAGAAAACACTTGTCACTGGCGACGGCGGCGGCAAGCGAGTAAGTGTGAGCCACTGTTGTGTCCGCAGCAGGAGACAACAGTCTTCGGCTGCTGCTTATCACCACTGGCCACACTCGCCTCTTCTCTTCTGGGGAGCTTTGGAAGTATTGGGAAGCCATAGACGAGCAGTGAAGTGTCTGCTCGATAAGACAAAGGCAAAAGCAGGCGCAGGCAATCGTCAGTCAGTTACAGTCGGTTCTTATCGGCAATTGCCCATTTTAGTGGTGGCCACTTTCTCACATTCTCTCTCTCTCTCTCTCTCTCTCTCTCTCTCTCTCTCTCTCTCTCTCTCTCTCTCTNTCTCTCTCTCTCTCTCTCTCTCTCTCTCTCTCAGTTATTCCAGCAGCTGCATGACATCGTCAAATCGCGCCGACCAGCAGCCAGTCAATTACCAGTGGTCACTTTCAGTACAGCAATGTCGGCAAGTCATCTTTTATTGGTGGACAGAGGGGACAGGACACACTGTTCTCTCTCTCTCTCTCTTTCACTTTGCCCTTTGCCGCGGCGCCAAAACAGAAAGAGAGAGAAAACGGCAGCCAAAAACAACAGAAATGATTCAGTAATGGCATTCACATTGTCAGGCAGAGTAATGAAATCCTGACCAAAGTTTTTTCTCTTTCCCATCATCGCTAATTCTCTCATCTTTCAATTGAACAGTATGCAAATGTGTGGTGCCACAATGAACAGCAGCAGCAGCAGCAGCAGCAGCAATGAACACGAATCGCACAGATAAATAAACACTAGATAGAAAGAGGCAACTTTGAGGTGACAATCGACTTTGTTGGAAAGCGAAAGAAAGGAAGACTACTGTCGACAGTGATCACCGCTGTCGTCATTGCCATTTGACATGAGCCAGAGATGAGTTCATTTCACTACAACGCAGACAGAGAAAGCAGACAGGGACAAACTTTGATCGCCCCAGTCCACCGGTCACTGGCTGCAGCAGCAACAGCAGCAGTTTGACATTGAGCCAGCAGCAATGAGCCAGCAAATGATGATCCATTGACAGATAGAGCACATAGGAATAATATGGCAGTAAGAGAGAATGCTGCTGCTGTTGTTGCTTAGCATAGCGCACAAGTGCTGTTTCTCCTTCGTGTGAAAGTGCCTGTTACCCCTGTGTCTGTCTGACTGCCTGTGCGAATGCCGGTGAATGCATTTGTGGTGAATGTTTGTTTAGTCGAGCCTAATTACCACCGCCGAGTCCGCTGAGGCTGAGCACTGCAACCTCCAGCCGTGGTGTTGGAGGAGACAAACTTTGTCGTCCGTTGACGATCAGTTGGGGGCACAATCAGCGATTGCAGCAACAGACGCAGCACCACCTCAACCACCTCAACAACTGAGCCACCACCACCACCACCACCACCACCACCACCACCAGCGATCTTTGCCCATATTTGTTGCGATGTGCGATCAGTAGTAGTGCAGTATCTGCGTAGCTGAAAGGAACTAAAACATACAACGAGCAAACTCGGTGTGTACACCTCGCCCAGCAGTAAATAACTGACAATCTGCTGAGGACAGAACAGGCGAGAGACAATACTGTTTGCAATGCAATGCAGAAAAAGAGAATGAGAAAGAGGATCACATCACACAGTCCACTTGGGCCCACACTCTATGGCCGACGCTAATTTTCAGCAATGGTTCACTGTTCAGTGCTTCAGCAATGTAGTGGGGCTTCAAACCGCTAGCAGCCTTCTTTTTGTATTCTAGCTGTCAAGGCGCGTGCCAATTTCTGGTGGGCGCGCAGGCAAACTGGCAAATTGGTGCAGAAAATTGAGTGTTCTTGCTGTTGAAAGCAGTCCACGGCTGATTGAGTAACAGCATCAACTGCTGTTCTTTCACTCACTCACTGACTGACTGTCTTTCAGTGTTCACTTCTTTTCCTATCAGCGCCAATCAATCGAAGCGATTCTTTCTTTTCTCTACACACTAGCTAAGTCAAATTGGCAGCAGCAGCTGTCCCACTAAATAATCATCATAATCAGCAGCAGCGGCGGCGGTGGCGGCACTACTTCCCTTCCATTCACCTTGGCCCCGTAAACGTAAACGGAACGCGCAGGTAAATTTCCTTCTCGTGTTAATCGACCTCTTAATGAGGCAGATGTCTCTGAAGAAGAGCAAA